TCCGCACTCAGGGCCGGACGGGCATCTCCTGCCAGCCTCTCACAGCGCCGCCCTCCTGCTCACCTGCGGAACAGCGCCAAGCACAGCCCGTGAGAGCCCGCTCCAAAACCCCCGAGCGCACAAAAACCACCCCACCCCCCCGTCTCTGTCCCTCTGGTTCACCGCTCGGCAAAGCCCTGGCGCACACGAGACTCCCAGCTCTTCCCTGGAGCAGGGGCGTGGGGCTGTAGCTGCTCAGGAACGTAGACCCCAAAGAGGCTTCTCAGCTTTATCCACCAAACTGCAAAAACTCGGGCACGACTGGGGAATAACTCTGGACACGTCCCGTTGACGCATCACCCAGCTCTCTCGACTGGGGAGGGGGGGCAGCAAGCGCAAAACTCAAGCGCCCTTGAGGAATTTCACAAAGGCTCGGGCTGGAACAAGCTGCCCGGTCATGTTGCTGAAGCCGACACCCTGGACGTTTTTTGCTTAAGCTCCTCGGGGTAACTAATTCTGCGTTTTAATACACAGTTGTCACGTTCACTGCTACAAGTGCAGCTTAACTTAAAGGGGAACTGCAAGGCGAGTTTTGTATTTCGGGGGTTAGAAAGATTCGGCACTGATGAGTGCATTTCGAACTGCAATGAAAGTAAAACGTACACAGTAACGTGTAAAACCCCCATTTACATCACAAAATAGACTAAACTTACAAGTACGCACAGCGCCATAATCTGGCAACAAAACTTCCAGTGACCTGAAAAAGGCCCTATTACTTTCTAAACAAGCAGGCTTGTGAAAACATCTCTTTTAATCCAACAGAAATATTGCTCTCAACTTTGAGATGGTTTTGCCAATAAATACTACTTGTTAACTCTGCATGCAGATCACATTGGAACTTTTCTGCTGTGAAATGTATGAGTGTGTAAGTCGAGGTTGTGCACCAGACATCACATTAGTCATTACAGGGACTAGTGAGCAGGAACGGTAGGTTTAACCCTCACTCTTGCCTGTGAAGAGACCCTGAGTTTGTAACAACCTGGAGACTTACAGCTCACGAACATAAAGTTCGCAATTTTGTGCTGAATGCAGAATGTCAAATTGTGTGATACCGCCAGTCAATGTATTTTGCTACCAAGGTAAAAATAACTGGTGTGACAAATTGGGACTGCAGCTCCCCTTGAAAACAAGACTATTTAATGACAAGAAAAATTGCTATCGCAATGTCTAACGTTTCAGATTCAGCACCAGTGACTTTATAGTTCAGGATGTAGGTAACAGCACATGTGTAGTAATGTCAGAAAGCACACAGCTGACCCAAGCAAGAGGACAGTGCCGGGAGTTAAAATTCACATCTACTTCTGCAATAAAACCTCTTCCGCAACAACAGCCTAGCGCTGTTCTCTAAAACGCGTGAGAGAGGTGCTCACAATGCACATCAGAAAACTGGCCAACGAGAGGAGCCATTCGGCCCATGTAGCTAACTGATCCGAGAATCTCGAGCGGGCATTTCTAGAAAAAAATTAGGGTACTGGCTACCTTGCTCCAGATTCCCAAAAGCCCTTGAATTCCTTACAGTCGAATCGGTAAGCAGTCACTGACGACCCAACGGTGCCAATTCAATGTTGAAACTCCGGGTAGAACCTGGAACTTTTAGACCTTCAGTCTACAACTCTCAGCTGAGCCTTTTCAGGGACTGGGCAAAGAAATTCCCCAGTTACAACGGTGATCCCGAGAATACCCATTTATACAGCAGGGCAGATGTGCACCTAATAATAAACCAGTCATAAAATCACAAAACAATAACAATATTTTCCATAAACAGAGTCCAGCTCCAGGAACAGAGTGCGAGCACAACTAGAGGTCACTGACAGTGTGAAACAGGGAGCTAAACTTGCAAACATGAGCTCTCTTACCAGGCTACACTGACCCTGTGGGGCAGAGATCTCCAGGCCTGGTCCTGAGGCACCCCAGATCAACTGTGTCATCCATCAAACAGGCACGTTGTACAAAGTCATTCAGAGATCACCGAGGACTAAAACCTCAGCCTTCAAGGACCAGAATGCAATTAACTGAAGAGATTACTTGCTTGATTCATCAGTAGCCGACAGGTGTGGCCAATGTCTAAAAACAGGTGACCTATGAGACTAACTGGACTGGGGATCAGGGTTGGATCAAGGTTGGAGAGCCCTGCCGCAGAGGAGGCACTTATGTTTCTAACCTGAATCAGAGGAGAGTCTCCTCTTCACAAGGTTAGTCACTTTGAAGATGACAGATCTGCTGTGACTGAAAACAGCATTTCAAACGTGACAAACTGCAGCAAGACGCACAAAACACGGTTACTGTTACCCTTTTGTTACCCTTAAAAATATCCGGACGTGGCTACTTGACTGTTAACAGCTGTTTGTGGTTATGTGGTTGGACAGTGCAAAAAATCATTATGAATCGTTTAAAGTAAATTATTGTTAAATAACTCCTGGAAAAGGCTGCCTTTGAGTAGGCTTTTAAGGTCTTCAGTAACAGACTGATAGCTAGTCACAAGAACGGTGTGCACAAAATATTCTGCGGGGTTTATTCAAGAAAAAACGGTTCAAAACCCTCGGGGTGGCCTTTCGAGTGTACAGCGTGTCTGTTGAAAGATCCCGTTTGCGATAGCCGGCAGATAGTCCAGAGTCCAGGTGAGAACGACTTGTTTTGAAGTCTGGCAAAGTAAATCCTGTGGGTACATTTTGCGTAATTAACACGGTCACAGCTTTAATCTTGCAAGCAACACCTGAACAGCTTCGAAACACGAGAGGAAGCGGTTGTATAATGTGCTCAGACCAGTTTATTAACTTCAAACCACCGCACATTTTCTGTTCCTTATTCTCTGTCCCGGGCCTCGGTTATTGAAGTTTTTTTTTTAAACATTCCTTTTACCTTATCCAGGCGTGTTTCTTCCACTACAGGAAAAACGATGACATTTCTGGTAGTCAATGCAAAATCAAGAAGTACTTTTGGATTAAAAAAAAATCGTCTCGCTTTAATCCAACGTTTTTATATGCATATAGAGCTGACGGTTCTGATCGTCTCTTATCTACCACACGCAATAAAAACACGCCACTCCTTTAAAATATTAATCAACCATCTGGCCATACATCCGGCTTACTGGACACGCTTTCAAAAACATTATTTGCTGGCTTCTCAAAAATACTCTTGAGTAGCTAGCATTGAACCAACAACACCCCAGACGAGCTCCCAAGCGACACAACAGGAGAACAAGAAGCGACTGGCAAGTGAGGTTTGTTTTATCCACACAGCACCACGGACACGGAAACGGCAAAGCGGCGAACACGGAAAATTACCCTGGTAATGAATGAATCCACCGGCAGAGAAAAAAAAAACCCCCACCGCCAATCAGCTTTCTGCCTGAGCATCGCCAATCGGCACAATCGATAGACAAGACGCAAAACACCGACTTAATCTTTTAAATCCCCCACCCTTTTATGACAATGGGAGAATCGCGTGTGAATTATTTTAAAAAGAAATGTTCACAGCCGCTTTCTGTGTTCCTAAGGAGAGGATGACCGTGAACCAGCGGAGCAAGCAGAGAGCAAGAGGGGGTGCCAGCCCGGAGTGGGACCGTGTCACCCCTGCAGTCGGTCTCTTTCTCGTTTCCCTTGCAAAAACAACTGCACGTACCCCCCCCCACCCGGGCCAGCGATCCCGCTGCGGCTCCGTGCCTCTCACACGGACCCAGAGAGGCTTCGCCCTGCCGGGGGATGAGCGACACGCCTCAGCGCTCCTGCAGACAGCGGCGCTACCGGCCGGGCTGCGCCGGGAGGCGTGAGCGGAGGAGCGCACAACGAAAACGTCTCGAAAACCCGTTCATCTTTGTCTTGTGTGTGTGTGTGTGGGTTTGCAAAACCGGGACTGTGCCAGCGGATACCTGCGTGCCCCCCGCCACCCCAAGAGAGAGTCCATACCCACCAGCAGCAGGCAGAAAACGTCGGACCAGTCTGGCACTTTTAGCCCCGCAGCCTCTGGACTCACTTTCGCCTCATACACGCAGCCCAGCCCAGCCCTCCGACACTGTAGCGCCGTTGCACAGCGATGCCATTTCGCTCCCGGTAGTTCACGGAAACCAAAGCCTTGGTTACCTCCGTTTTGTTTTCCTGTTTTCGGCTCCTGCGCCCCGAGCCCGGCCGCTCCTGTGCGCTCGCTCCCAGCATGACGGAGCGAGGCTGCGCACGCAGGGCGCCCCGGACACGCCTCTTCTGCGCAGCGCGGCCCTGCCGGGGGTGTGAAAGAGCCGTGTTTACAGTTCATTTCACTGTCTTACTTCATGCGTGGAAGGGAATTTAGCGATGCTTACAGCTATACCTCCAGACGCCGCCAAAAAAGAAAAACATGTTGTGTAAAACATGGATGTAAGCATAATTAAATATAAAGGTTGATTCCATGCTGAAAATAAAAGAGACACAACGTTGTGTCTGGAATACACCTTTACTTGCTCATTTGCAGCTTAAGCATGCTGACGCGGATACCTACTTGAACATGATCAAATGTAGCTATGAATTTCTTTGTTTGCCGAAACGTTTTACGAAGCTTTCCTCAACCATGGAAAAACACATTCCTCGTGGCTGCTGCGGGATCCTGCTCTTTCCACTTCTCCAGGATACACGAGACAGCGAGAATTCGTTCATGTGACCCATAGGGGGCACTTGGCATAACATCGCACTACGAAACTGATTAAAAACATACACGTCAGAGGTCTTTATAAACTGCTCCTATCCTTGAACCTGTGTTTTCACTGCGATTACTTCAGTCCATCCATCTGTATGAATAGGTACTGTAGGCCAGAAGTACATAGCACAGTTTGTAAGAGTAGAGGTGTTCCTCTGGTGTCCTGGGTAGATTCCAGTCTGGGCTTGAACGTCCAACTGGTGAAGCTACGTTTTATGTATCCACCCGATACAGAACAGCAGTTGTGTGGCTGCTTGTTCGGAA